TGGCATGTGTACGCGTTTATCTCAGTTTTTGCTATCAAGCTCGTAATGCTCTTTAAACGCGTTCAAACCGAACGCGTTTCCATTATTCTTTAATACGAAAACGCGTCGAAACGCCGACATTTTCAATAAAAACGCGTCAGAACGCCAACGTTTTCAACAGAAACGCATCTAGCCGCGTTCATTGTGCGTTTCGTGGTTACATGGGTGATGGTAGATCATTGTCGATTGTAATTGATGAAAAATAAACATCGTTCGACGAAATCATCGTTGAAAAAATTTAGTGAATTTAATCTAGAACCGCAATCGAACTGTAATAAACAAAATGGCTGCATTAACACAGAAAAATGAAAACAAGTTATCGTTTGAAGCGAGATTTTACTTCCTTCGTGATTTTCCATGTTATTGCTACACTATCGTTTGCTTGCTTTTGTATTACAGGATGGCAAAAAAAGCAAATCGTAGTTACTCAATAAATGCAGAGTGCGCTAATTGACGATTTTAGTGAAAAATAGTCATTCAGGGGTATGAGTAGACGGCCTCATTTTCTTTTTAATCACGCCCTTCTCTCTCTTATGTGACATCAAATTGAATCAGACACAAAAAGCCAAAGAATATGTAGAATCACTGCAACTGTATTTTAATCATCCCAAATAAGCTGGGTAAAGATTTAAGAAAATTCGATTAATCATGGGAAAAGATGCTTTACTGATCTGGTTAGGAAAATACGAATGATGAAATTTGGAGATGGCATCAAATTTTCTGTTGAAGATGAAGCCACTTTTATATTTTCTTTAAGAATAAAAGCTTTTTTTATTGTAATTTTTTCATAAATATGTATAGCTGAGAGCTACGTACTTTTGTTTGATTCATAATCGACTGATTATATCTTCAAACACTCTATTGCTCATAGTGATTTCATTCCGACATAGAGAAGCATTCAGAAAAAATGAAGGATTATTCACAGAACTGATTTTGAATGGCACATTTTTCGATGAAGTTCTACAGACGGATTGACAAAAATTTTATGCTTTAAAAAAGTTGCGTTTTGTTAAAATGAATAAAAAAAATGAGAGCATAGAAATAATTTATCGAAATTCTGTTCTTACTACTTCATAGAATTATACGTTCTTCCTCTTTTAGCTATTCTTCATGATAATTACGTTTTATTTATTCTAAGTTAATACTAGTCATAACTACATTGATAACAGACGTACTTCGGAATTTTAATTTTACTAAAGCATTCATCAAATTTGAAAGTACAACAAAATATTTGAACTCTAACGTTTGACCGATCTATGCAGATGGAATTCTAATTAAAGCTCGGGATCGCGCTCCTCTCCTATTGTGTCTCATATTGGCATCATCAACTTAACAATTGTTCGTTTTGATATTAGTTGCAAGAATCATTAAGATAGATACTAACTGTTATCGACAACAGTACAAACTATGCTGGATATTGTTTATCTATACATCATATGCGTATTCTCTATTATTTTAACACTTGGACTTGCTGATAAAATTGGATTGGGATCACGAATTTTCGATGAAATATTTAAGCTGGAATACGAAATCCAATCGCTCAATGGTTTATTCTAATGCATCCATCTTTAGTTAATTTCGCAGCCATCGATCAATGTTTCTTAACAAACTGCAGACCTTTGATAAGACAATGGAAAATATCTCACTGTTATTGTTGGTATCATTTGATTTTTTCTACAACATTCCATTTTTCATCTTTTCTGATGTTAAAGTTCCTTTTGGTTTCACTAACATGAAAATAGTTCAATATTACTCATATTTTCATTTATCAATTCTACAAAAGATCTTGCCATCTCTTCTGGCATCCATATTCAGTATAGTAACCTATCGAAATGTTCGACAACAAATGAGCAATACTCGAAGATCATCAGCTGACAACAATGATTCTTGCTAGAGTGATACTTTTTGTTCTATGTCTGTTACCATATATCGTACAATCTCAATGCACAGCGTCCTAAAAATCAAACATTTCGAAACAAGTTCATGTTACTGATATCAGCGATTAATACTTCATTGATGTGATGATTTCATGTTTTAGGGTTCATTCTATGTATATTTATTTGTATCAGCTCGATTTTATCGTCAAACAAGACTCGTTCTAACGAAAAAAGTCAAATAACTGTTGTGGTTCAGTTATAAATAATCGAATAGCATCGATAATGAATTAAAATGTTGATGGTAAATAAACAAGACCCAATATTCAAGATTTTTGTACAATTTCTGTCTCCGTTTTAGCAATACCAACATTCATCGAAATTGAAAGTTTAAATGTCATTTATGGTCTTTCGCGTAGTTGTGAATGAATACTTTTTCCTAGGATTGTAAAAGTGGAGTCCATATGCGATCTTCTCTATTTTCACCTTTTCTTTATTTTCTTATCTTAATCAATTATGTAGTAGAAAACACTTTTAAGAATATTTTGTTGTATCATTCGTTCATAATCTTGTTCTCTTAATCCTAATAAAATATTAATCGATCCATCTCTCCTATGTGTATCCATCATTGGAAAATATCGTGGATAGAGTTGTTTTGTTGGTCCACTATAAACAGGAAATCCACTATTACCAAATTTAACATCTAACAAATTTCCTTTTCGCCACGATCCACAGTAAAAATCCTGATTAATTATATCTGCATCTGGTTGATTTTTCTCTATATTACCATCGTCACTCATTAAATAGGCATTATAATCTCGTAGCGATTGTGCCGATAGTTTTGAATACATTTCATGGATTTGTTGTGCTAATGATGAAAGAGTCATTTCTCGATCCGATGCTAATTTAGAATAGATTCAAAACGGAAATGAACCAAAAAAGTTAAGCACAGCCGATCAGAGATGGGCAGCTCCGACTCCGGAGCGGCCGCTCCACGGAGCTAGCTCCGCTCCATGGAGCGGAGCGGAGCGACTCATAAAAATAGTGGAGCTGGAGCGGAGTCGGAGCGTTATTTTTTATATTTGGAGCGGAGTCGGAGCGACATTTTGCTTTTAGCGCTCCAAGCATAAGCTCACTCTTTGCTCTTCCCATATAAAAAGAATTGGAAAGAAGATTAGATGAAAGTCCATCAAAATGTTGATGAAAACCATAGATTAAATTTTTATATC